TATTTTATTATTGTTAAACCGGGCCCGTAAATCAGTTGAAAACCTCAAACCGGATGAAAAATCCATAAATCAAATGAAAATCAAACTAAATTCCTGAGTTGGACCAAATCGATTCAAATCGAACCGCAATTAACTAGCATGCGCTAGCAGTTTCTTTTTTCTTCCTTTCTTTCTTTTCTTCTTCGATCGAGCGGCATACAGCGACACTCTCTCTCCTCCTCTCTTGTTTTTGGCCACCTGAGCCAATCGATCCATCTTCTCCTCATCGTCAGCACCACCATCACTCTGTAGCTTCTTTCTCTCTCTGTTTTCATTTTCGGTGGCGCACCAAATCGGCGAGCTGCTATCTCTCTCTGGCGATCGACGCAGCAGCGCCTCAGCTCGTCTTCGATGACCTCAACACAACCGAACGGCTCCAACATCTGCCTTATCGACGGCGTAGTCTCTTTCTCGTGCCGTTTGTTTTCAGTGGGCGTAAGAGGCAAGTTGAGACCGTTCCAACCAATCAGAGGGCGATCTCTCCCAATCGACACCAAATATGGATTCTTCGGTGAAATCTGACCCTGGTGGTGTGAAGAATACTCAATTCTGAGCAACTGCGATTTTTTCACCACCATAAATGGCGGGGCCGGCGGTCGGCGGGCGAGTCTCTGGCGATACCCGAGAGACAGAAATATGAGATTAATACATTGAACCTGAATTTGAATCGTGTAAATTTCAATTTGAAAATTATTGTTATTGGGTTAAATTAGTTGTGATTAAAATAATTAAGAAATAAGAATAACATAAGGGTTTTAATAAATTAAAGCAAGTTATAATTGCTGCCATGAAAATAAATTGAGGACTTTGATGAGTGTGAATTTATAGTATGAATTTTAAATAAAATAAGCAAAGCATATAAATTAAAATACTTGGTCATAACGAATATAACTACTTAAAAAGTTAGAAGTACAATTAAATTATTTTGGACTTTAATTCATTATATATATTTGTACGCTAAAGAAGAATTAATTTTTTAATTTAATTGAGCTAAGGATTACTAAGGATTATAAACTAAATAAGAAAAATAAGTTGAATATTTAGTGTTATTTGAATCGTTCGGGTGACAGAAAGTAATTTGAATAAAATGAAATTTATTGCTGAAAGGGCATTAGTTATTTTGAAATTAGAATTATATGAACTAAGATGGTGATGAAATAGGTTACTTAGAAGAAATAATATTTTGACTAAAGTTAATCAAATAAAGGATTTTTTATATTCGTTTATATAAAAGATTTATTGTTGGGTGACTAGTTAAGGAAGTGAATTATGTCGAGATGAAGTAAAAAAAAAAAAATTTTGAGGATATATTGAGATTATTGATTTCCCAATGGATGGACCGTGTGACTAATAATCGATAAGTATATTAAATGGTTAATACTTAAACAAAAGGGAAGTCCTATTATAGGAGAAATTCTATCAAAAGTATTAATAAGATTTAGATTAGTTATAGCAAATTAATGTTTAGTGAATAACGTTAAATTAGTTTTTTAATTTCTTATTTAAGAAAAATCATTTGTTTAATTGAGCATTTCCTTTATATTTGTATTTTATCTAGATCGTCCGAGTTTATCTACCTCTTCTATTAGTCAAAATCTAAATGAAGGCTTGCTTCTTCTTTTATCACTGTGAATAATAATAAATGATGCATACCATCATCTGCATGTATGTATCGACCAATTCGTATATATATATATATATATATACACACACACACACAAATGATATTTAACCTTTACTCTTTTTAATACTTTATTATAAAAATAACATTATGAAAGAGAATTAATGACTTTTTTAGACGATTTAAGATCTGAAGCCGACACGGAGTCATTATTCGGCTAAGGATATCTTTTTGCACTTCACCTTCTACTTTCACAACTAAGAGAACTAAGCATCAATGTCTCTTGAAAGTACTTCTCATTCATAGTGAGTTATCTTGACATCGCTACGAGATCCCTTTCCCATTTACTTTTTGAAGTCCGGCGAGCAGGCAAATGTTGAACTATTCTTTTAGGAGAAAGAGGGGATGAATAGTTACTAGGAGGATGTCCTTACTTTTTGCTGTAGTAGTAAAACTCCTTATAATAGTGTACAGTAAAAGTTATAATTAATTGAATTAATATGGATTGTAATAAATGATTATATTGGGACTAGGAAGTCTCTTTTAGAGTTCATCTCTCAGCTCCTATTTTTGGAGAAATTAGATTTCATTATGGATTGGTAACGTTAAAAGGATTAGGAGTGATTGATGAAATCACGCGAATCTTATCTTTAGTATAGTATGATTATTACTTTTTGGACTAACGTTTAATATCAACTAATAAAGGATTAGTTCTCTAATTTATTCGTTGATGAATTCGGTTATCAATATAAAGATTCTCTGTATATGATATAGGTAGTGGAGAGAACATAGAATTGATAGGGAACTAAGTCATACATAAGGAAGTAGAAATTATGTATGTTATCGAGTAAGAGTGTTGAAAATTAAAAAAAAAATTATTTAGAGATAGAATGATAATGAGTGAGGATATATAATTTGAAATTTGCCCCCATGGATGCGTTTATCAGACAAGTGGATCTGACACTTTATATGAATAATAGGATATATAAAGTAGATGAAAATCAAAATGAGTTAATTAAAATGGTTTAATTAGCATAGTGAACAAAAGGAAGTGAAAAGTCCTCTTCATTTATAGGGGAGAATTCTGACTACAAGAAAGTTTTTACATGCTCAAGGAAAGAGGATTAGTATTAGTTTATAGCCCCAGAAAAAAATTACGAGTGTTTAAGAGATTTAAGAATAAGACGTTAAATAATTAAATGTTTTCTTTTTTAATTTTACAGTTTTGGGAGTTTTATAGAAAAGTATAGTCAAAATTATTAAATTGTTTATAAACATTGCTTGAGCAGTTTGATACCTTGCCTTTATATTTGTATTTATCCTAGAATTCGTCCGAGTTTATCCTAACCTCTTTCTATAAGGTCAATCTTAAAGTGAAGGCTTGCTTCTTCTTTTGATCACGTCGTGAATAATAATAAATGATCTACCATCATCTGCATGATATGGTATCGACCAATTCCGTATATATATAATATATAGTATATACACACACCAACACAAATGACTATTTAACCTTTAGCTCTTTTTATACTTTAATTATTTTTAATACTTTATTATAAAAATAACATTATTTACATTATGCTCTATCATATAAATTATAATATTATAAGTATATAAGAATTATATATTTATATACATTCCATGACTATATTCATATGTGCTTCTTGATCTCCTATATGATTTGTTATATTATTTGAGTTGATTGGATTACTTACGATATGACTATGTTGCGGTTTGTTTACGTGTGGAATTGGAATGAAATGAATCACTATGGAAATGTGAGGGAGGTCTTAGGTACCATCGGCCATATATGAAAAATCAGCGCCTGTGTACATCTGATGAAATATGATATGAATGATGTGGCAAAACCACAAAGTGACCTCCTATTAGTGATGGAAAAGAAAAAGAGAATGGTGTTAGTTCAAGGGTCAAATTCTAATCTCGGAATTTTGATGATTAAAACAAAACAAATAAATTTAAATTATATTATTTGTGCTAATATTATTTATGCAGAATTCTTATGGAAAGAAAACGAACAAGGCAAGTTCTACAAAAATCCATAGTATGTGAAGATATCCGAAGATCCTAGTGGTTAGGTATTTAGGATACATTGTAGGATAGAGAGAAAATTCATCTATAAGCACAAAAACTAGTCTTTCTCTCATCAAAAATATTTATTTAGGATACATTGTAGGATAGAGAAGAAAAATTCCATCTATAGCACAAAAACTAGTCTTTCTCTCATCAAAAATTATTTTTTTCGGAATCTAGCTTCTTCAAATAAATTTCTTTTTGTTTTTCGAAATTCTTTAAAAGAAATCAAAATGATTCATTACCTAAAATTAGAGATTATGTCTCTAACGATTTTGGTAATACAATTGTATGCTTTCCTTTTTTCAGAAAATCCTCTTGTGAAGATCTAAAGAATTTTAATTTATTCTCTTACTTAAAATGAAGGAAGATCTTATTCTGTTTCGTTTTAGTAAGTAAAATCTTTTCGAAAAAATTTTTCCAAATAAAATGCCTTTCGAAAATCTTTATAGGAAAGGAAGATCGTCTCTTATTTTCTTACCAAAAGGATAAAACAAATTTTTGGTAACTAATATTTTCGTATCTTCTAAATAAGGAAAGCAAATATTCGGATTTCAAAATGAAATGTCCACTTTCCAAAAGCGAGAGTCACAAATCTCTCTATAAAAAGGAGTTTTCACGCTTTGAACTAGGTGGAAGAAAGAGTTTTCGTTTTACGAGTATTCACCTATTGATCACATCCTTTATCTCTCAAAACTTACTCTCTACCCCCATTTTTCTTTTCATCTTTACACTTCACGTTTTTATCTTTAAAAACGTTTTATTTTTAAAGAGAAAATAAATTTTTATAAACTACTTTTTGAAAACGGAGGTCCTGTATTGGGTAAACATTTTCTATCCTGGAAACTGTTTTTCCTGTGCCTTAAATATTTGCATTTCTGTCTGTCTATTTAGATTCTGTAATCTTTTAGTAGAACAAGTTTTTTAAATTTGATAAACAATTGGTGTAATAGCTTAGGTGAGAAGCCTATTGTGAAAGAGGTTATCAAGTCAACCTTCTCGTGAGCAGAGATTCTAAATGTCTGAATTGAGTTTCTGTACTCTGCCAAAAACAGAAAGGGTTTAAGGTTAACTAGAACTTTGAAAAATCGTGGGATAAAGGGTAGATCTAGGTGTTGATCTATTGCCTTATATTGTTGGTTTGTGTCACGACCCGTTTCCGTGGGCCGGACCAGCACTAGGGCCCAGGTAAGCTTAAAGCCCCGAGGCCCGTAGTAAGCCTGAAACACTAAAATTTAGTATCTCAATATAAATTTCAAATATTCAGCCCGTATTACTAAAAAAAATAAACCTCAAGATTTTATTACATCTCGGCCCAAATTTATCTTCTACAAAATTTCACAGTTCGGGCCAAATTAACAATACATCGCATCTTTAATATGGGCTCACGTAATTATATCGTCTATGTTAATACACGACTAATTGTACACAAATTCTACAACTGCGGAGTTCGCTAACAGATGTATACAGATAAGCCTTCGGACATTTACCTATTTAATATATCAATACTAAAATTAGAGAATTTCTTTTTAACAGTGAAAGAGCAGAGCTATAGCCGGAATTCAGAAAATGCTACTTCCTGAAAGATTTAAACAAAAGAGATGTGAGTTATTAATGAATAATAATTATTGCACAACACACGCATTCACACAAATGTATACGCATTCACACAAATGTATTACATTATCAATATCTAGTATCCGACTAGGTTATAGGCTCACACAGACCAGTCCACACAAATGTAGCCTATCACCAGCACAGTCAACAATTAGTTATAGACAATGCTTCATATAATCATCATGCGCACAGGACGAGACAAGGCTACACACTCACTCATGTCAGTAGAAACCCTGCGATGAGCCTGACTCAAGAGGGGCGTGGAAGAGCTGCTATCCGTCTCACAACGCGATGCACAGGGAAGCACGATTCATGTCATACTGCGCCGACCGGACGTCCTAATGCCTCACTTGACCCAGTCCCTCTCATTGTTTTTTCAATCTCTGCTCTTTTATCTTTTGCGATACAGATCAAGGAGGCACCCGGTACGCGTCTCCATCAGAGATAATATCCAGATCATACAAGGCGTCTGTGCATCAAACAGGAACCCGGCTGGCAGGGCCTGCGATCATAGGTTCTAGATTATCAGGTGCGCCAATAAAGAAAGCCAAACTGTGGGGTTTTTACCATATCAATACTAAATCACAACCGTAGTTTAGACACAGCGGGGCAGCCCGATACCAGTTTACCCGGCCGAAGCGCGGGACCAGAAGACGCATACAGAACAATGGAGAGCACAACGATTCATCCTAATAACAAACATAAGGGCGACAGCAAATAATCATACACAATTAAATTTAGTCAACTGTGCTACAAGCATAATATAAGTGGGGGCAAGTGCAAGGACGCATTCTAAAAATATGCCTAAATAATAAGAGCTAAGAAATAGTGTTAACCAATAGAAAGCAACAGTAGATAATTAACGATAACTTAAGATAATAGAAGGAAAGTTCAAGTAACTGAAGTAATAAGCATAAATAATGATGTATAGTGTAAAATAGATTAGAGAGTCACTTATGTAGTCTATGTAATTAAGTTATGTAAATTAATCTAAATAAACTTATTGAATTCTAGATTTTATTAAGTAACAAGTGCTAAATAGATTCTATAGGAACACTTTCGGTGCACCTTCCCACGACCTAAAAAAGGTTGCACTCTTCTACCTGCGCTCAACAATTCAAACAATATTATATATATTTATCAATCAATGCAACACAGCCCAATGCCGTCGGGGCGATCAACAATCAATAAAATTGTGCCACATCCTCACTTCTCCATAGGACCGGAGTAGCAAACATCCAACGCCCTCCCCTAAAAATTGGACTATCTACCTGCTCAAATATCACAATATTATATATATTTATCAATCAATGCACACAGCCCATCCGTCGGGCGATCAATCAAATCAAATGCCCATCCTCCTCTTAATACCATCATCAACATCCAACCATCATAACTTCTTTACATCACTTAACTTATATTCTAAATAATGTCATTTATTAATTCTTGTATTTATATATATATATGCATGTATACATAATTAGCTATATCTAGCCTAGTTAACAAATACAAACATTTCATAATTCCTTCATATCCTATCCTACCAGAAATATAAGAATGATATTCATTCTCTAATTTAACTAGACAAGTAACCTATAAAAATGCATCGAGCTATCACCATAGAAACAAACAAAAAATAAAAAAAAATAAAAAAAAATAACAATTTCATATTTCAACTCACATTCAACCATTTTTATACTTCCCCTTTTTCATTTCAGTCATAAAGGACAGAAATTCTATGATTTAATCTCATTCCAATCAAGGATACCTCCTATAGCTTGTAATCATTATGAAAATAATTGAAATACATGATTTTCTGACTTGCTTCTATCCATAATCATGGAAATACTCAATTAGTTGCTGCCAGTTTAGCAAATCAATATTTTTCTTCACTAAACTCATACAGCATATATAATTTACTCATTCCAAATCACAACATTCACTTATAAAATCCTACAATTCATATCAAGGCAATAACCAAAACAATTTAACAAGAATGACTGCTGCCATTTCAGAAATTTCTCAATCTCACAATCAAAATCTAATAGAACTATATGAAATTATCAGTTCACTTTCAAATTTCCAGTTTAAACTTCCATTAAGGAATGATAGCAAATGTGTAATCAACCATTCTAATACATAAGCTAATTATTTCATTAATCAATTAATTCTTTATATACAAAAAAAAAAAAAATTGGGGATTTAGTCTTAGAACGTACCAATTGAGAATCGGGCGACTCATGCACCATCAGACTCCATTTTCCGTCAGGAGTTCAATTCTGGCTTCAGTTGCGTGCGATCTTCAATTCTGGCTCCAGTTTGCGTGCGATCGGCACCAAGCTAGGATGGGATGAAAACGGTGCTAAACAGTAGCCCTTATGCGTGAAAAGGGGCCGCATGTTACCTCAGAAGCGCCAGAGAACCGCAGCTTCGCTTCACAGCATGCAAATCGCACCGAGAAATCACTAGCGCAGGAGGAGTACGTCCAACGAACTGAGCGAGATGGCAAATTCGGTGGCGAGCACGCGTATAGGATAGCAGACGATCGAGCATGGGATGCCATCGCAAGCTTGCCTCACTGATGCGTCCACGAGAAGAGCAGAAAACGGAGGAAGTGTGTATGTCACTGGCTCGTGCGGCGAGAAAGTCGCAGACTAGAAGGAGAAGAAGGAACAAAGGTGTGGCTGAGAGAGTGGTACGGCGACGAAGGAAAGGACGAAGGACGAGAAGAGAAGATTTGATGGGTTTTCTAGACCTATTTTCGCGCTTCGCATTCGAATCGGTTGTTGAGGTACCAAGTTCAATGGTTTCGGCCATCGATTTTTGCTTGGGTTTTGCTAATAGATTTGATTATTTGTGATTTCTTATTAAGTTTAAGGTTCTAAGAATACATTTCTAATTATAACATAAATAATAAAGTAAGAATAAAAGAAGCAGATTATTGACTTTAATTTAAATTATATGTTTAAGTCACGACACCATATCAGCATATGCATTTTTAATAAATTAACGTTTTATTAAATGTTCTATATGTTAGCTCGCTTAAAAATATCTAAGGTTCTCCACTCGGCAATATGTATTACAGTAATATGTTTTTTGGCCTTGAGCACATCCGTAAACTTGGGCTCGAATTAAATTAAACGATAATTTGTAGCCCCAGACACAGTCGAAAATCAGATTTTTTGATTTTAATAAAAAATTCAAAGTTTTGAAAATAAATTAAGGGATGTTTCAATTTGTCTCTATACCCTTGAAAAAGAGAGATAACATAGTTTGGAAGAATCTCAAGATGAGTCTTGGGAGAGTTTGGTGTAAACGAGTTAAGTGCCGAACCACTATAAATCACTGTTGTTTGATCTTTTTATATTGCTAAAGTTTAGCTTGATAGCGGCTTTTCGACACTTCTGTTTATATTTGAAATGCTAAAAGTGTTAATGGATTTATGTTCTAAAATGGAATAAGTCTTATCGTCTCTGAATATTAGAACCTCTGAAATTCTGATAAGTGAAATAATATACCAAATCTAATAGTTCTTACTATATTACATATTAATTCACTACTCGGGTTTAACTAATCAGAAGTTTCTAAACTTGATTAAAGTTTTGTGAGGCAGTTCTAATTTTCAATGAACTATCACATTCACATAGTCTTAATATGATTTCTAAACCTTTTATGAGAGAAGTTCTAAATAACACATTAGCTTTCCGTCATTAAAGAGTTCTAATCTTGAATAAGAACATTGTGAGCAGTTTTAATTAATAGCTAGGCACTTTAGCATAGTTCTTTCTATTTTTTATGAATATGAACATTGTGAGGAAGTTCTAATCCCATAATACTATTCTACAAGATTCTTTATTTTTTCGCTGGGGCAACTTAGAAATATCATTCTCACAAGTTCTTTATTTTTTCGCTGCACTTAGAATTCTAGATCTTGTTTTAAAAATCTAAAATTATTTTTGAAAACCCAATTCACCCCATCTTGGGTTGTGCCATATATATACGGGACCCACAAATGGAAAAACAATGTCAGGACTGATCAAGTAAGGATTAGACAGGTTGGCCGTATAGGTGATTGGCTCCTCGGCTCATATTTGGGGGGATGAGCTCCTCGGTTCGTAATGTGGAATGGACTCCTCGTGCCCTGATAGAGGGATGGGCTCCTTTATCGTGAAACATGATTAACAGATTTCTTGGGAAATGAAAAAATAATGACATCATTGATTAATCTCTATTTGATGTGATTGTTTAAAAGTGATATCATTTGTGATTACTGATGACGTGTTATGCGCTTGGTTGAACAAATGCTTACTATATAAAGTTGAAAAACATTTTGCGCGATTGTTTGGATTCTTCATTATTTATTATTATTCACTGAATTTGTGAAACTCATCTCCTTGGGGTAGACATTTTGCTGGTTCAGATAGGCTCTGCTCCCCCTTCCTCGCAGAGTTATAGTAGTAATTTTTCAATTTTTATAATAGTTGGATATACAGTAATATGTATAAAAATGTATTTGCATCTAGTTATTAAGCTTCGCAGTTAGAGAGTCATATATTATAATTTATCATGTAAAGTTACTAGTGTGTTGTTCAACAAACCTGTGAAATTTTTTAATTGACTCTCTAAGAGTACAAAAGGACCAATTTGCCTATATTATAGATGACATTAATGGTTAAAATAAGCCTAAGCTATGAGTTATTTGAAATGTGGAACCTGAGCTAGAGATATAAATTGACAGTATGATTTAATAACGTCACATTATGGACTTATTGTTCCTAAAACTGATTTAACATTGGATTCATGTGAGATAGGCTTACTACAGGCCTGAGGCCTTAAGCTTACCTAGACCCACGTGCCGGTCCGACCCACGGGTTTGGGTCGTGACATTATGAATATTTTAAGATCTTCGTCGTCTCTTCAAATAGTTTTAAAAACCTCAATTCAAAAATCATCCAATAAGTTTTCTATCCCTTTCTACTCTTTTGCACGTAATTGCGCTTTTTTTTTTTTTTTTTCTTGCAGCTTTACAATGAAATTGTTCACGTTAATATATTACCAATAAGGTTCTCCGCATCCTTTCTACTTTTGTTTCTTTCTTTGAAAATATACCAGAAGAGAATATCAATTTTATTTTATTTACTTTTTTTTGCATATAATTGCTTCTCTTTTTATTTTTGCAGCTTTATAATGAAACTAGTTGAACGCCCGAGTTTTGCGCGGGTTGATTGCTTTATTGTTGTATATTATATTTAATATATTATTAAAATATTTATTTTCCCACAGGTTGCATTATTAAATTAGCATATTATAGAGATTTTAATAAATTAAATAATTATAAAATTTAATATCCTATTTAGGTAATTTTATATCGATAATTTAAATAATTTAAACACCACATATAATTGTAAATAATTCTATAAATTTTATACAATTCAAATAATTTAATATGGATAATAAAACACCACATTGTATTGTAAAATAAGTTCACTTAAATTTATATACAATTCAAATAATTTTAAGGTATGGGAATAATATATAAGGATAAATATTATTGTATAAATTTAATTATTAAAAAATAATAAAGACACAAATATAATATTAATATAGGCGAATAATAATTTTCAAACCAAATATTTTAGTTTAATTTAAATATATAATAGGAAACTTTTAAATAGATTAAAAAATAGAAAATTTTTATACAAAACAAAGTTTTTAAACTAATTTATATCTATATTTAGTTTAAAAAATTTGAAATCAAATTTTAAAAATTTTAACCGCACACCAAAAAAAAAAAAAAAAAAAAAAAAAAAAAAAAAAAAAAAAAAAAAAAAAAAAAAAAAAAAAAAAAAAAAAATAATAAAAAAAAAAAAAAAAAAAAAAAAAAAAAAAAAAAAAAAAAAAAAAAAAAAAAAAAAATCTATATTTTTATTTAAAAAATTTGAATTCAAAATTTTTAAAATTTTTAACGCCCTAATTTTTAGGTTTTAATTATATATATATATATAACCACAATATCTAGTTAAATAGTAAAAAAAAAGGAAGAAATTTTCAGTAATTTCTTAAAAAGAATAGAATGCTTATACTTTTTTTTATGAAAGAATGATTATATGAGATAAATAATAACCATAAATATCAAAATCTTTAAAAATGCTATACTCCAAAATATAAAAATTAAGAAGGTAAAATATTATTTTGTGAAAAAGTGCAAAGTAAATAATTAATATTGAGTCTGTATGTCCTCTTATTAGATTTTCAAATACAAAGGAACATGACATGAAAATAAACAAAAAATAGAGAAATCCATAAAAAGTTCCTTCTGTAAATAGAATGAAAAAAAGATATTAGAGAGTTAATTACTTCAGTCAAAAAAGATGATGGGATCGAAGAGATAATATTATCATACTTCTACTATTTAAAATCTGAAAACAACAATAACGTATATATCAAAAATAAATAAATAAATAAACACAACACAATCAAAACACAAAGAATTGAAAGCAAAATAATTGAAAAAGGCAACAAAAAAATAAAATAAAAAAGCTATTGTGAAAGAAAATTATTGAATAGAGGTATTTATAGATAGATACATGTATATAGATAGAGATAAAAAAACTCAAAAAGTTTTAAAGTTTAAATTTTAAAAATTTAATAGTTTTAAAGTGGTTTATGTCTTGAGAAAATAATTTTTTAAGAAATATATATATAAAGAAAGGAAAAAAAAAAGAAGAAAAAAAATTTGCAAAAATTTATAAAAAAGAGAAAAATAGAAAGCTAAAAAAATAGGGCACGCATCAGCAATTTTAAAATATTTTTGGTTTCAGGATTAATTATATATAGATATAGATATAGATGGTTCATATTAATATCATCAATCACCAATAAGGATCTCCCTATTTTTTTATTCTTTTTTGACTTTCTTTGAAAATATGTTATAAGATAATATCAAATTTATATTATTTATTATTTTAAAAATTATCTATGAATTGATCTTTGCAGGTAAGATTAATGATATTATATTTCTATTTTGATTTGACTATGTTGAAGAATATGTGGACAGTCGATTTTAGCAGCATTGGAAGGTAAATTTAATTTAAGAGAATTATCAATCCTGCTTCAGTAACTCTACTCTGTTTTTTTTTTTTTTTTTTTTTTTTTTTTTCTAACTCTGTTTTTTTTTTTTTTTTTTTTTTTTTTTTTTTTTTAACTGCTTGATCTCCTTACATGTTTGTCTTTTTATCAAGTATTTGGAGTATTTGAGGATGCCAAAGACTTAAATTTTGTGTCCATTAACCTTTCTACATAGGTGGGATGCCAAATTATTGAATAATTATAATTTGTTATGCCTTTGGTCCTATGTTTAATTGCACACATATATAAGAGAGCTTTGAAATCACAGTTTGAGGTTTGTATTTAGGCTGATTTGAGATATAGAAAAGTTATGTATTTTTATATACAAATGAGGATGGTGAAGAGGTACAGATAGGGATTGCAAATAAGAGAAGGCCATGTTCCTCTTCATATTGAGTAGATATGACTATCTTTGCATGCATTATTAAAAGTTGTGATATGTTACTTAAGTTATCCAAAAATGTGTTTCATTTAGTGAAATACAAAAATGTGTATCTTTATAAGATATCCGTGGATCCCTTTTTTATATTTTTTTTGTTCAAGGAATATTGCATGTGTCATAATCCGCTTTTTTTTTTTTTTTTTTTTTTTTTTTTTTAATTTTTTTTTTTTTTTTTTTTTTTTTTATGAAGCCAAGGTATAAGACTTCGCAATACAGATAAGTTATGGCAATAACAAAACTAATTTGTTTAATTTTTCACAAATTTAAACAGGATCACCATTTTTAAAAATTATTGAAAGTGACAATCTCTATAGATTTTCTATTGTGGTAATTTATTATATGTTTTTGATGGTTCACATGTTAAATTATATATATAAATATAGTAATTATAAATATAATATATAATATATATATACTTGAGATATATTTAAAAAAATGTTAAAGCTTGTCTCAAAAAATATTAAAGATAACGAGTCTAATACATACTACATACTATTACCTAATTAATTCATATATATATATATTATATATATATATATATATATGTTAGACCATTAAGCTTTCAGGTTCCAAATTTATCTTGCTTTTATGGCAAGCTAAGTAAAAATGTATATATATGTTACCTTAGCTTTCAGGTTCCAAATTTTCTTGCTTTTATGGCAGCTAAGTAAATGTATAGTTAATTTACTCTTCTATTTATATTCAACTATTTATTAATTATAAAATCTTTTATGGTTGTTAATAATTTTCCACTGTATTAATGAATATAATATATTCTTTGTCTAACTTGATTTTAGTTTTGGTGTATATTTTATATGTAAATTTATGTAATATTCACTTATGCAAATGCTGACTATTGAATTTGAACAAGTATCATAATTTGATATACTTGAAGCTTCTATAAAATCATTAAGTGATGATATCTAATGTTTATAGTTATTGGAACTCATTTAAATTTAAAATTAATTTAATTTAGAACTTCTGCACACATGTTTAACCGTTTAGATATTCTAGATGAAAATTGTACATTATCAACGAAAAAAATATTATTAAACTATTCAATAATTTAATTAATGTATTTATTTATTTATTGTACACAAAAATATATCAAATCAAACATTATATAAATAAGAAATTATTAACTAATTACGTCATAAAAATATTGATTAAATAACTGGTGTTAGATTTTGAGTTTTTATCTAAAAATAATTTCAATTATTATTATTCTTAATTTTACTATGAATTATATGTCAGAAGAAATAACAATAATTATTTAAATAACATATTATAAATAATTAAATTGTCGAATCTAAAACTAAACAAATTAAAAATTCAAATATCAATATAGATAATTATTTTAAATAAATACTTATTTTTTAAACTTAAAAAAATATCTTAAATGATCTAATAAAAAGTTTCAAAATTGAACATAGATATAGATAATTATGTAAATGAATATTAATTTTAAAATATAATCATCAGATATAATTTTCTAATTTTTAGATAATAAAATTAAAATTTAAATGATAAGAATATTAAATATCTCAATTTCTTTTATTTTATTAAATAGATTTATTTTTTAATTTATAAGATGTTATCTTATAGACTCCCTTTCTTATTTTAAATATATTTATTAAATTTAATGTTTATTTCTCTTTAATATATGTTTTAAATATATTTAGATTTCTCTTCAATAAATATATATTTTAAATATATTTATTAAATTTAATTTGCCTTTCATTCATAAGCAAAAAAACTACACAAACAAATAAAAAAAAACTCCTAACAAACAACACCAACATCATACAACTAATTATACAAAAATAAAAATATAAGTTATCAAAATAATGAGATTTAATTAATATCAATCCTATTTATTTATCTATTTCCGTTTTATGCTCCTATCTTTATCTCTATATCCACTTCTTTCTACATACATATAATTTTATAAAGTTAAAAGATTTTGAAAAAGAAGGAAAGAAAATACCAGAGAATTAAACTAATATTAATGTAGATAGAAAAAAGATGCTATAATATAGATAGATTGAAGTTGGTATTATCATCATTTTACTACTCAAAATCTGAAAAACAACAATAACATACACATTGAAAATAAAAAATAATCAAAACCTAAAAAAAATAGAAAGATACATATATAGGTATATAGATCAGAAAAAAAATTCAAAAGCTTTTAAAATTATAAATTCAAAACTTCAAAAGTTTTAAATTAAATAATTCAAAAATTTTAAAGTTTTAATCATTCAAAGTTTAGATTTTAGATATAAATATATATACATATGAAAATAGAAATACTCAAAAATTACTAAAAATTTATGGGAGTGCCCACGTTAGCTTTATAAAGATTTATTTTGTTTCAGGATTAATATAAATACTACAAAAATACTAAAAAATTTTATGGGAGTGAACCACGTTAGCTTTATAAAGATTATTTTATGATTTCAGGATTATTATATAATATAATAATATATAATAGTTATACTATTATATATATTATAACTATATATTATAATACTATATGGAATCTGAATATGATGCTGATGTAGTATTATATTTGTCCATACAGCTGCGAGCAGTGTAAATATATATATGGAATCTGAATATGATGCTGATGTAGTATTATATTTGTCCATACAGCTGCGAGCAGTGTAAAAATGTGGTCCATTTAATTACGATCGGAATTCCAATATTTCATGTTGGCAAGGAACACCTAATTGCATTTTTTTTTTTTAAATTCAGACACTATTTATATTGTTTTCAGTTTAGACACCAAATATTTATATTTATAAATTTCAGATACTAATTTTATTATTTATCCAAAAATAAATATTTGATATCTAAGTGCTCTCATGGGCCAAGGCCTAATTTCTTTAAACCCCAGGCCCGTTACCTTCAAACGGGAAGAAGTGCGTAAATTCCTAATCTGCCCTAAAACCCAAATGTCGCCTGCTTCAATCAGAACTAAAACCCTAGCTTTCTTTCTGCATCACTTCATTACTTTTCTCCAAGTTCTGTTTCGCTCTTTTCCTGGCCGTCGCGAGTTAGACCCTCTAAATCTGTTTTTCTCTTCTTCTGTTCATCAATAAATGAATAATGTTTTAAACTGATTTAATATGTGTTCTTCCCAACAGCAACCAGCAGCAACCATGATGAAGATAAAGACCCCAAAGAAAGGAAGAATCAAGCGCGAGCTGGAAAAACGCGCTCCAAGACTGGTGTGTTAAAGAACCCTTTAATTGATTTCTAACATATATCTGGTTTTCCTAGAATTCTTCTATATTTTTTTGTGTTTTTGTTATATCCCAGGTTGAAACTGGGAAGAAGACACTGATACTCCAAGGTACAAAGACAAGCAGTGTATTGAATGCTGTTTTGATGGATTTATATCATCTAAAGAGGGAGAGTGCTGTGAGATATACTCGCAAGAATGATAATATAAGGCCATTTGAGAGCGGCGGCGAAACTTCTTTGGAGTTCTTTTCTACGAAAACGGACTGCAGCATTTTTGTTGTAAGTTGTTTCCTCTTAATGAGTATTATTGATTTGTGAGATGTGTTCAGTTTGATGGATTTCTTCTTGTTAGGAAATTTGTATGATGATGGAATTGAAATTCAATTCGCTTCTTAGAACTGGATATTTAGGGCATTTGGTCTAAGGATTTGTCATTTCTATCTTGCTCTATGTCTTCCATAGTTGATATGATTAATAATACGAAAGTGTGCTTGGTATACATACATGTAAATTTACAATGATTTAGTGGTTTATTACAGAACTTGGCATAGGGTATAAAATAATTTTAGTTTGCGGGCTTCTCGTTTCTATGCCTATGCCAGTGAAGAAGAAAGAAGCAGCCGTTCGTTTAACTATGAACTCTGTTTTGGGTGGAACTGGTACTAACTAGCATTTGGACAGTATATTCTTCACTTTAATTTGGTTTAAACACTAGAAAAATTTTCCTTATTATTCAATTTATATTGCAGCATTGATTTTCATGTCTTGGTAGTTCTGTTCTGTGTTTCATGCCCTTTTCCATGGGGCGTGATGTTTTATACTCCATGACTTTTCAGGTGGGCTTGTAATGCCCGGCTCTGATGGTTGCCTACTTTCTGGAAAATTCTAAAACATCAAGGTCAAGTTGTAAATAAAATCTTGATAATATAATGTAGTATTCATTTTCGGATTTTTACACGAATATAATGTTTGGATATCATTTATGTATCCTACCCATGTAGTTTTTATCGAGGGTAGGTCAGTTGTGTAGAATGCTTCAGTCTTCCATACAATAACTGACATGTTTGGACATTTGCGGGGTGCTCTTTTTAAAATTTCTTTGTTTTAGGATGGTGTCAAAAAGATGAAGATACAGAGCACGTTTATTCATGTGTCAGTATTACCTTCAATTGGTTTATTAATTTTCCTTCCCGTTGCTGCAATTTCTTAGAATTTGTCCAGCAAAATATTTGACCTGTTTCTTTTTTGTGTACTATTGCCATTCTGACAAATTATTCTTACAGTTGCTATTCTGTTCCATAGGCATCAACAAACGGTTGCATGGGCCTATGGTTAATTATATCTTCTTTTCCTACTTTCCTTTATATAGATGAAGCATGAAATATTTGGTGTGGTACTTAACAAATCTAAAATTCTCTGGTCATTCTCTCTTCTCCACTAGTGATTTGCATATTGCAGAATTTACTGAAACATATTCAATGGCTTGTTTTTGCAGTATGGTTCCACCTCCAAGAAACGCCCTGACAATCTGGTGCTGGGGAGAATGTATGATCACCACATATATGATCTTGTAGAAGTAGGGGTTGAAAATTTTAAATCTATGTCGTCATTCACATATGACAAGAAACTAGCCCCACATGTGGGTTCCAAACCTTTTATTGCTTTTATTGGAGAAGGATTTGAAAGTGTAGATGAATTAAAACATTTGAAGGAAGTGTTGCTTGATCTCTTTCGGGGAGAGGTATGTTTCTGTGACTGTTCTGCTTCTGGTTCTAAAATTTGAAAGAGTACTGATAGAAGCATGGATCTGATTTGTGCAGGTTGTAGAAAACTTGAATCTTGCTGGTTTGGACCGGGCATATATATGTACAGCTGTATCTTCAAATCGGGTGGTACTTACTCACTGTGCGATCAGGCTAAAAAAGTCTGGCACTATTGTTCCTCGGATCGAACTGGTAGAAGTTGGTCCTTCCATGGATTTGGTAGTTCGACGTCATCGTCTTCCTAATGAAAGCCTAAGGAAAGAAGCCATGAAAACAGTTAAAGATCAGCATAAGAAGAAGGTCGGCTAGCTAAACTTTCCAACTTTTTTTTTTTCAAGAATAAAATAACATGTCATTAACCAGAGCCTAATTGCTGATTTTCTGCTTGCAGATTAAAAATGTTAGTGCAGATGCTATACAAGGGAAGATTGGAAAGATTTATATTCCTGATCAAAAGGTAAGGACACAAATAATATGGGGGAGATGGTAAATCTGCCGTCATTGCAGCAAGATATCTGTTTCTCTCTCTGCACATGCTTTCTTCATTTTTTTTTTGTACAGTTTACATATTATTTTTGCTTGTGCAAGACTTTATTTAAATGATTTGCTTCCATTAGATTGGAGATATGGCACTGCCCAACAAATCAAAAGGAGTGAAGAGAGAGCGACGTGAAGCTAAGATGAAGGATGGGAACAATGAAAATGCATCAAAAAAGCTGAAGGAAGATTCTAATTAAATCGGCTTGTAGGTTGTTTCTTTACTAATTTTCTATCGCACTTCCTTCCGCAAATTGTGTTTGAGGTGCTGCTCTGATGAAATGGAAATCAAAAGGTAGTATAGATATAAGATGCATGAGATTTCTTTTTCTTTCAGTTCCTTCACTTTCTAGATTTTTATGTTCATGAAAATTTTGTATTCACTCCGAGAAATATATTAATTTAATGGCAAATGCTTTAGATTTGTATGCTTGTGAACTGGCTGTGGTTAAATAACTAGATGAATTAAGTAGATGCTTTTATTTTTTCTTTGATCACAGACGAAATACTTGGAGAATTAGATCTTCCAATTTGGGTAATTTGCAGATCTTGTTAGGAGGCTTCTCCATGTAGTTTTTATCTTCTCTCTCTCTCTTCTAAAATATTTTAATGCAAGTTACTCAAATGGAGATGTGAGCATATTACAATAAGGTTTAACATAGAAAAATTTTAATTTTGAGAAAGAAATTGGTATACGAAGAGCTACATTGATATAGTTAAAAAAGAGAAAAACCAAAAAAAAAATATTGGAAGCACATGAACTTTAACTGTCAAAATCAACGTGATAATGAGGGTTTCTTCTCACTAATAAAACATTGATTCATCTATCCTCTGTTTTACCCACTCAACTCACACACTCAATTATATGGTACTTTTTATAATTTTTAATAATTTAACCCTTTACTCTAATCCTAATTTCATTTTGGGATAAATTACATTTAAAGGTCAAACTGAGAATCAATGTCAGAAAAAGGTCAAATTAGGATATCATTGCAACAAGTTTCGAAGTTTAGGGTATTTTTGATGTTTAAGCCTTACACCCTTTTCAGCTTTTCTAATTTGAGTTTTAATTTCTTTTACGGAGCTCAAATGAAGTCCTACCAAATTGAAAGAAGCACAGGTAAAGCCAACTAAGTACTCCGCTCTGGTCTGTAGATCAACAAACCAATACTCTTGCCATTTAGGCCAAAGCCGAAGACATGTTTTTCTCAGAAAAGTTTCACATTTAGGAGGATGCACAAGCCATAGAAGAAATGTAGCTTATTCCAGGAGTTAGCCGCCCAAAAATAAATCAAAAAGGAGCAAGAAGAAAAGAACAAGAAAAGGATTAACACAACTAATCATAATCAGGCATTACATGACTGAAATGTACGATCCCAAAGAACACAACTGCATAGATTAGCTTACAAGGAACACGATGACATAGGTTAGCTTACAAAGAACTATCTTCACACAGCAGTGGTCACCCATGAATAAGTACAAGGGGACGAAGGAATTAGTAATTGCAACTCAAAATTATGGTGCCTCGGCGTTGGCTAGATGGTTTATGCAGAGACTACGCTAACTGAAAATATGCACTTCACTGATGGCAAATTCATTGATGGCATATATGCTTTGCGCTATAAAATTCATCAAATCCACTGCAAGAGTTCTTCAGAATCTGCAATTAGTAAACAAAATCATAGTATTATGGGTTCTAAAAAGTTTTCCACTGCACAGGAGTTGGATGGCAGCAAACCAGCATCACATGTCAGCATTCAGACATTCTGAACTTCTTATCTACATATTGGCAGCATATTGAGAAGCTGACCAAGAAAAACAATGAATCCTAAGACTTCTATTACCAACTTCAGAAGAAAATATTTTTACACACCCAGGCAGCAAATGCTAATTATCATTTTTGCACAAGCAGAACAACTGTGCCTGCTTTGAGTTTCTTCCTTATCCAAGGATGATACTTTATCATCTTTCTCATTCTAAAAGAAGCTATACACTGAATATCCCAACACCTTTTGTGGCTTTCTACATATATGATACTAAGGGGTAGTTTGTTTTGCTAAATTCTAAATGCTGAATTTGAATCAATAGCTTATAGAGCTGATAATTAAGAAGTGATATAAAGAATTGGTAGTTAAATGATTAAGAAATGAGAATAATGTCATTTTATAACTGCAGGGGACGATTCTGTTCTTTTCATCTAGCTTATGTAGTTTATTGAATCAGCTCTAAAATGAAGCTTTTTCATTTAGACAAAATTTGCCAAACAAATTCCTGATAAAGAACTTATTGGTTCAGCTCAAATAAACAATTTATATTTCATTATTGTCTGATCAAATAAGTTGCAGGTCCAATAAGCTGCCAATGAGACAAAACAAACAAATCCCTAAATAGAGAAAGATACATGCAGTGCAGTATAAACATGTAGTCAGATGCAGGACCCTAAGATAACTGAAGTATAGATCATCATCTAAGCTAACACATGCATTACCAGCAACTAACAAGAAAACAAACAAATAATAGTAAATTTCAAAACTTACCAGAAGTATCCATTCCAAAAGGACGCCTAGAAAACAGTACCAAACCAACAGGAGTTTATGCTCTATTTCACTGGTTCCACCTGCAAAGTTCATAACTTAAAAGTATCCATCAGCAAGAAATGCCAAATTGAAACCCTATGGATATAATTCAATTCAACTATACAATGAATCCACAAAAATAGGCAGATACAAATATTTAGATAGAATGAAATAAAATTGGAAAATCAAGAAAGAATTAGAGTTATTATTCAATCAAATGATCTACATAATGATGTCCAAGTCCCTATATCTAAAATGTCCACAGGGCAACAAGTGCTGATGCAAGTGAAGCCCTATGGATCAATATTCTTTGATCTATCATCTTCTGGCTGGCCAGCATGACTCTTGGGCTCATCAACTGGCCACTTATGCACGCCTGAACTTCCTGCTGCTTGAACAGAACCTAAATCCCAGATATCAGAGAAACCGCCACTTGTACCAAACTCTAGCACATCATAACTGACAAGATTACCCCACAACTCATGGCTAGAACTAGACATACCAGCTTGGCTGTCAAAACCCATGCTCCACACTTCCTCTTGCCTAACGATGCTATCAATCCCAGATGAGAATTCTGGGAAATTCTTCTCTGCTGCCAAATCAACAGGGAAAGAGACATAATATTCAGGATCAACTTCTTGTTGTGGACTCGCAACAATCTTTCCTTTGAACTGCGGATCCTCACTTCCAAAGTTTGAGGTCCCCTCTCCAAACTGCTCTTGGGAATTGATATATCCTTGTGCAGCTTGTAGTTCATCTGATATCACAAAATTATGAGATGCAACATTCTCAACTTCAAATCGGCATTCTGCATCTTCACCCATTTCTACCATACCTTGTAAGGTATAATCAGGAGATTGTTCAATAGGAGCAGGATTTATGTCTGGGACCTCAGCAGACAATGGGAGGTTTCCCAACTCGGATCTGTAATTTGCAATTTGTCCTTCAATAGGTGATTCAGGCCCATGTTGCTGGTTCTGGTGCTTCACAAACTTCCTGTTCATCCTTGAGGAACCAATAACTGCCCGTTCCTTATTTTGCCTAAGGCGAGCCAAGAATCCTGGATTCTGAAACAACTTTGCCAAGAAAGCAACCATCAGCTTCTGCCTCTGCTCTGCTGTCTTAAGCCTCTGATTCACAGCTTCCATATGGTGAACAGCTCCACGCTGCTGCTGCTGCAGTTCTACAACCTCCTGCATCATTGTACTCCTCTCCTGCCTCAACCTTTCTATCTCACTTTGAAGTTCTGACTTCCCTGCTTCAGTAGAAGGCCCAGTATAGCTTCCAACAAACTGGGTTTGTGGTGACTTCCGTCTTTGAATGTTCTTCAACAAATGTCTCTTACCTCGCCGAAAAGCTTCATTTGCAAATTCCCACTTGTCACTATCAATCTTGCGGAACCCCTGAATACATTACGCAAAGTGCTTCAAATACAAATGATTCAAATAATAAATAAGTGTTTCATGCAAGAAAAGCAGATGTCAGTTCTCATGCACACCAAGATCTGGACTTGCACTAATAAGAAGTCAACAAAACTGGCGTTCCATAACAAGCATATTCATGGAGACAAACTGACAAACAGCAATAAAATATGCTCCACCAGAACTTAGATTCTACCTGCACAAGGAGTAACTCCCCGCTCCAATACATGCTCAGAGGGGAAGAATGTCTTTTCGTTGGTGGTATGAAGATCAAAACCTCAGATACCAAGTAACTATCACCTGAAGGAAGAACCTTTACTGTTTTCTTAAAGCTACCATATCCATTTCATAAAGGAGAAGGTGAACCTAACATGGTAGGTGATTCTGCCTCAACATTACAATTCTAATGACAACCCAAACACCCATTACAATATGAATCCATTACAATTACATTAACGGCACAACTACAAATCACAAGAACGTACAAGTTTCCAAGGGACTCCCAACGCAAAATATTAAAACATTACAAATACATAAATGAGATTCCCTCGATTATCAATGCTTAAAGATGCACCAATAAAATTTCAGCAACCTCAGATATTTATATACATCACCGGCATGTTAGCACAAAAAGATTCTTCAGCTACATCTACAAGGAATAAACAATGTCAGGTCCATTTACAAATTAAGCATCAGTTGAAGAAAAGCCAAAAAAAAAAAGATTAAAAAAAAAAAAAATTTAACAAAAGAACCCAGTAAAAATACAATGAGAACAAACAAGTATCCAGCAACGAAAGAACACAACAGCCAAGGAATGCTGTTGTGTTTCTGCAATACCCACATAAGTATTTAGTTGCCGGACAAAACTGGAGAAATTGTTGTGCTTGAAATTCCGAGGGAGTATAATCCTAGCAAACTCCAAAGGCTCCCACACCACGAAGCTTTCACCAGTCGTGCCCCACGAAATTATCGGGTCCAGCGTCCGATCATTAACCAGATCATAAGTTTTAGAGAGAAATGGCGGTACTGGATTTTCCTGTAAGCTCGCAAGAGGCCGAGGCATCCCGCCAACGTCCTCCTCCGGAGCGTCATCATCTGCGTCTCCTCCAGCAGATGGTCCTATAGGAGCTGTTTCAGATGCAGGATTTGCTTCAAATTCAAACATCTGTGAAGAAGAGTAAACCGATTGTTCCATAGAAGAGAATGCTTCCAATTCCATTAAAGGAGAAGGAAATGAAGCAGATATAGGAGACCCGGCGAAGTTCATATCCTCCATAGTCAAAGACCCAGAAGGGAAACCTTGAGAGCCCATTACTGGCTGTAACAATGACGGCGTCGTTTCGTGTTCTGAAGCAGAAGAAGAATCGGAACGTTTATGAGGCGATTGAGAGGATTTTTCGTCTTCTGGGTTCATATTTTGTTTGGGTTTCGAGAAAATATGGTTTGGTTTATCGTTGAGAAATATGAGGTGAATAGGGTATATATGGGGGTTTTAAAGGTTTCGCCGACAAACTGTTTGATAAAAATCTCAAGAGAGGCGGTGCAACGCTCGATTCTTCTTCCTCGGCTACGGCCATCATTTTTACGAGATATATTTGGAATTTTTCAGGCCTTGCGATTAACTGTCTGCAAGTGTATAGACTGAACCGTCCGGAGCTGAAGTTACGTAGTTTCCTGGCAGTTGATGTTCAATGCTGTGGTTCTCGCTCAAAGGAGACAAGTGGGTCCACCTGGAAAAAAGCAGAGCACAGAGAGCAGATATTTCGATTTCGCCAGGTGTTTTGATCCTATTGGCCAGTGTTATAAAGTGCGAATATGATAAAAAAATTTTTATTGGCTCTCCAAGATAATACTCTCTGTTTAAGGTTTGAAAATGAGGAGGGCTGGTCATAGTACTTAGGAGCTAAGGTAACTCAGTGGCCAATCAGAGTTTAAACCGAGTCACGTCAGAAAGATTATGAATTTTTATGACCATAAAATGTTTTGGAGGTGTAGATTGTAGCAGGCATTTGCAGAAATCAAATTACAACTTTTTTTGCTCTCTCCATGTCAACATCGACAAAATTATTTTAAATAATTTAATTTTCATCGAAACAAGAGGTCATCCATTAAAATTTAGTTAACGACAATTTCCTAATGTACACTTATGAAAAAAAAAAAAAAAAAAAATGAAAAAAAAAAAAAAAAAAAAATGAAAACACCACATGTCATAGACTAATATGGGTTAATATCATTAATTAGATCCTCCCGTTCAAAAAAAAAAAAAAAAAGGTTGTAATAAAAATAATGCTTTTTGTAAAACCATTTATAAAAACCAAGCAAAATTAAAAATAATCCTAAGATGTGATGGGAGGGAGGGAAAGGAATTTATTAGAATTGAATGTTATCTGTAGAAGTAGATTTAGAGAGAGAAAAAATTTGCTCATCTTTCAAATATATTTAGACTATATTTGATAGCTGTAATCAATTATGTAATAAAACGTAAATTACATAATATGGCTGATTACATTGTTTGGTTAGATTTTTTTTTTTTAAATTTTATAATGTAATTGAAATTATACGTATAATAATTTCAATTACATTATAAAGTTAAAAAAAAAAATCTAACCAAACAATGTAATCAGCCATATACGTATAATTTTCATTACTTGAATTGATGTAATATTCATTACATAAAAAAATCTATGTAAAATCTATTACATTCCTTAAGCCCATACCCTACCTAACTACCACTGCAATCACCACCACCATCCAACCACTACATCAATCACCGCCATAACTACTACTTCACCACCACCACCACTCCACCACCACCATCACTGTAACTACCAACAACATTCCACCACCATAACCATCACCACCACTCTACTACCATCGTCACAACAACTACCGCTGCAACCACCACCATCACTTCATTGCACTCCACCACCACCACCACCATTGTAACCAACACTCCACTGCCATCACCACCACTCTACTACCACCATCACCGCAACTAGGGATGGAAGTGGGGTGTACCCGTGAGCTTTGAACTATTCGTACTTGTATCCGTTTGAAATTTTACTAGTATATTCGTCCCAAATCCATTTAAATACCCATATCGGGTCACATTTAAAATTTTGCTACCCGTATCTGAACTTATTTAAATTTCATTTTTATTAATAAATGGGTAGGGTACCTGTGAGTATTCATGGCCAAAACTATTTATTATAGCGAGTAACGGATAATGGATATCCAGAGGTTATCCTATACCCTACCGCATCCATTGCGGGTAGTAATTTCACTACCCGTATCCATCCCAAATTCATTTATAACTATCCATGCCACTATTAAACGGATTGGAGCGGAGCGGATATCCTAAAACACTCGTCTTACTTCCATCCCTAACCGCAACCACCAGAGCCACCATCACCACTCCACTACTGCCACCACCTCAACCACCACTCCATCACCACCGCCATCACAACCAGCACCACTACCAACACCATGTCATTCTCAATTATTTTTTTTTTTTTGTATTGTTATAGGAATAAGAAGAATGGAATGAAAAATCATGAAAAAGATCCAAATATAATAATTTTATATTGTAATTTAATTTATTTAACAAAAATATATAAAATTGTGTAAAAAAAAATAATTTTCAATGACTTTAGTTTTATTTTGTTACATTATATTTTTTTCTGGGCTTGTTTTTTTTTTTTAGTCCAAATAGTTAATAGCTCTAAATAGTCTTTAAAAGCTTGATATAATGAATAACTTTTAATTCAAATATTTCTATTGTTTATTAATAATAATGTGGTGATAGTGGTGGTGGTGATGGTGGTAGAGTGGTAGTTGTGGTGGTGGTGAAGGTAGTAGAGTGGTAGTTGTGGTGGTAGTGGAGGTGGAGTGATGATACTGACGGTGGTCGTGGTGGGGACGGTGGTCGTGGTGGGGGTGGTGGTCGTGGTGGAGTGATGGTGCTAGTGTGATTGATGGTTGTAGTGTGCTAATTACATTACATATTTACAAACAAATATAAAAATTGAATGGTGATTATATTAATAAATTTTCTTAATTACATTACCAAACATAGTAATGGAACTGATTCTAGAATTACATTTGACAAACATGCCAGACCAAAACAATCCTTAGTCAAGACTATAACCAGACTATCGTTCAAATCTGCCAGTTGTTCTGTTTGAAAGTGTTATTTAGTTATAAAACGGTGAAACAGAACTGAACTGCTTTAAGCAATGTTAACGTATATTTGATAATAACTGATTTCAGATTCTTGTTCTGACTTTGGAACTATAAAATAATCTTTTTCACCTTTTTAATTTTTTTTAGTTTTAACTTAATAAATATATATGAAAACACATTTAAAAAAAGTTGCTAAACTTTATTTCAAAAAATATAATCTAAAAAACAAAAACTATATTTTTTTACTGCTTCAAACTGGATTGCATTTATAAACCGAAAACTACGCCAATTCCACTTTCAAATAATTATAAAAAAACTACTAGAACTGTTAACAGTAAACACAGTTTCAGTATAGTTTAGGATAGGACTTGTACACGCCCCCATTTTTCTATGTTCAATAGTAGGTTTACGTCTGTGAATTAGTACCCACCGGTCCAAAATGGTATTATTTTTGGTCGCGAAAAAAAATTAATTATTTTATATTTTATTTTAAAACATGTTTGGACATGATTGCTAGTTTTGATGAAGTTAGAAATGTAAGTAAGGAATATTTTTGAGAGATTTATGATATTTATATATGTACTTGTTAAAGTTGTAGGATACTAAATCAACTTCTAATTCAATATGCTTGTTTGATTTATATTATTAGACTATGTAGGTTAGGACGGTGCCTCCAGCACCGAATGTGGCATCCACCGTCGAGTCTTTCGGGATCGGGCGGCGGGTGTTACAGAACTATTGACTACGGTTTGGTGCCAATTGACTGATTCGGTTCTAATTTGAAATGGAACTATGATCATTTCTACATTTACTAAAAAAGATACTATAATAAAGCATAGCTTTAAAAAAAAAAAAAGATAAATTTTTTGTTGCTCACAATGAGCATGGATCATTATGAAAGGAATTGTCTATTTTGTCCTTATTAAAAATTGATAGGCTTAAGTTAGATAGGAGAAAGAAAGAAAAATTAAAATAGTAATGGTTGTTGGCTCAAGTTGATTCAGAATCATTGAGCATAAAATGTAACTTTTACCTACATAAGCATATAAAATGTCACTTATGTTCCCACTGAAAATTGATAGATTTTGAGATGAGAGAGACATCTCTCTTTGTTTAAAGTGGGTGAGATTATCAATACACGTGCTAGGCTTTTGTTTTATTATTTACCGTGTCTCTTTCATCCTTTTATTTTAAGAATAATGTCTCTCTCATCATATATATAATCATTATATATAGGCTTAGCAATTGCTGACTGTTTTCCTTGCGTTGTTTATTTTCCATATACATCTTCCCTTTCAACAATGAATGCTTATTGCAGCAGAAGTACATCCAAGGTTTATGTAGTTTTCTGTGGACTAGAGCCTGAGATATATAAATCTTGGCAAGAATACGCCAAACGCATTTTAGGTGTCAGAAAATTTATGGACAAAGGATATGAGACATGGATGAGGCTTTGGGAACTTACAATTTCTTTTAATGAATCAAAATATAATTCTGTATGTTATCAAGCATATACGAGTTACAATCTTAGTGAGATTCAACAAGATGAAGGTAATCAGATGACATGCAACATTAAATTTAAAGTAGCAGTAGAGGATGGTCCTCTTAGCTCACATATCCTTGCGTTTGAAGGAGAGGACAATAAAAGGACATTAGATGTTAGAGTACAATACGTGCGGAGATTGATGTTGGCTCAAAGGTCAATTTTATCTTGAGATTTTGATAATTTTGCAAACAAATAAATTTAATATTCTTGTACATGCTAAAATTATTTTATGCAGATTCTTAATATGGAAATTGCTAAAGAAGGCAAGTTCCTACAAATTGAAGATTCTTTGAAGACCGTAAAGATTATTGAAGATTATTTTAGTGGTTAGTATTTTAGAATATGTTGTAGGATAGAGACAATATTCTTTTATAAGCACAAAAGTATTTTTTTTTCTCTCAAAAGAATTTTCGAAAATTGCCTTAAAAAATAAAAGTCAAATCTTGCTCTTTTAATTTTACTTACCTAAATGAAAAAGATTTTGGCTTAATTATTTTTGGCAACAAATAATCAAGTATTTGTAAAAGATTCACACATATTTTATTTTCGGAAATTACCTTAAAAAGAAAAGTCAAATTTTGTTTATAATTCTACTTACCTAAAATGAAAAAGATTCTGGCTTCAATATTTTTGGCAACAAGTAAATGAGTATATAAAAGATTTTCGTACATCTTTTACTTTTAGAATGTCAAAGATATTCTTTAAAACTAAAATATCAACGTCTTCTAAAAACGTGATCTTCACCTCTCTTATAAAAGACGTTTTTCTTCTTTTTAAAACGTTGAGGGTTTTGCAAGAGTAAGAGTCCATTGATTAAAAAGTTTCAGATCTCTCAAAGCTCTCTCTTCAAATGCCCTTATTTCTTTTCATCTATTTGCTTCAAGAGATATTTTTTTAAGAGAAAAGAAAACTGATAACAACATTTTCTGAAAAACAATTATGCACTTTAATTCTGTTTTCAAAATCTATTTTCTGATTTT